AAACTCACAAACTTTTCCCAAATGCGAATCTTTTGGTTGATGTTTCTACGTCACAGTGCATAAATCACGTGGTCAAACGCACGACCGCTTTGCGGAGATCTCGCGGGCTATTGCTTTGCGAACTTTGTAATGGCGGACGGTATTTACGCACTTTTCAGTGGGAAATTTCCAGCCCCCGTACGCAAGTATCGTTCCAATTTTTCGCTATTTGTATAATTTTGAACATATACAAAAGATTTATGTTAAAAAAAACTCGGAAACAAAAACAAAAATTTTCGTCGTAGTAGCACTTTAAGAGATCATTGATATAGATAGTTGATTCGCCTTGCAATGCCTTATAAAGTAGAACACACATATTTATCTCAACGTCTTCATAATGTAAATCTAAAGCTAAATTGATAACCGTATCAACCTCCCATGCGGGATACATATGATAGAGGAGTATGATCAGCGGTCTTAGTTATAATAGTGGCTAGTGTTAATAGTCCTTGAAAATGTTTAAATTAGATAGGCCAGTTTCAAATGACTGGGTTAAGGTTGCACAGCGCGAATTAATGGTAATAATTTCCATTCAGGGATTTGTGCGTGGGATAAACGAAGATCGGTAAAAGTTGGTATTTGATTGTGGTCGAAGATATGATAGATGAGAAGTATGACGTAATTGGCGACAACTCATCTACAGAAATCTAGCACGCCAAACTTCGCGCGACTTACATTCAGATTGTTTCGCAATGGTTTTTACAGTGATTCCCGGGCTCATAATCCGTGGTCGGTTAAGGTGGCTCCGTCATTAATACTGGAGCATTTAGTTGTGACAAATTTTCCGTTATAACTTTTTCGTTTTAAAGCGATGTCTGCGAAACTTTGCTAAGAACAACAGAGGTCGTTCGGTAATAATATACACTTAATGTCAGATCCCGAGGGAAACAGTTAGTTTTGTTTTCCCAAGAGTCCTGATGTTTCCCGAGACGAAGTCGAGGGAAACATCAGGACTCGAGGGAAAACAAAACTAACTGGTTTCCCGAGGGACCTGACATTAAGTGTTTTGTTATATTTCTAGACTTTCACTTCAACAGCAACAAAAGAATAACCGGAGCGAACCAAAACAGTCGACTCGGTACTTATAACAACACAAATTTAATTCTCAAAACCACTGAATGAATGATTTACAAAGTACTTTCCTCATATTATCTGCATCTTTTTCCTCCACTAGCTGCTGTTTTTCTTCTGGGATAACTTTAAAAATCGTTGCTTTTTAGCTTGAGGCTTCGTTTTTGTGTTGTTGTGTTCATTCACGAAAAAGAAAACTGGCTGGACCTGGCGGTGTTTTTCCCGCCTTCTGTCACGCCACTTTCCACCATGCTTTGATCACGTGCTGCAATGTATCCCGAGCGGGATACATTGTTTAATGTATCACGATCGGGATACATTTGATTTTAGTCAAGGCCACGTGACCAAGAATCAACCAATGGCAGTCCCTGTTTAGTTGAGTGAAAGTCTAGGAATATAACAATGTGAAATATTCCGATTTCATTGATGGTAAATATTTCTTGAGAAATTAGCGCTTAAAAGGACCCTACTGTTCAAAGAAAATTGCACCTAGTAAAAAATTTTGCTGATATTTTTTACCGAAATTTCTGTTATCGGCTTTTATTGATATAATAAATATGTCGGAGAAATTTCAGAAAATTGTTGAAGCAGAAGTCCGTAACTAAAATTCGCCCAAAATTCAGCTGTGAAATTCCTTGGAAGTTCACAAATAAATTACTATCAGGTAGAAGGAGCTACCAGTTAGCAAGCATTGAATTTACTTGTCCCGAAAATTCAAACTGGTGTCTTCTTCTACCTGATAGTAATTTTTGTTTGAAATTCCAAAACAATTTCACAGCTAAATTTTGAGCGACGTTTAATTACTCTGGCATATTGGACAAGAAAATTTGACATAATGGTTTCCAAGACCATGATAAGGTCTGCAAGTATGATAATTACAATAATACATTTTCTCACACTCCAAAGTTTACTACATCAAGAATAAAAATTAACGAAAAGAGTTGAACAGAGCGTTTCGATGTCGCTATGACACCATTATCGAGTGACAAGATACAAAGAAAAAAAAATAAAATCTGACTTAATATAATACGATTTGAAGTGGCAAATTAACTCGAGAACAAAAGTAAAATGTGCGCACGTACACATAAAAATTAAAATATGTTAAACAAACAGTTTTACCGGATGGAATCTGATATTTAGGAGTTTACGGGCCTGTTTACATGGAGTGGGGGACCCCGGTTTAGTGGGGTAGGTTTCTTTTGTTTTGTGTCCGCCAGAGCGTGAAAACAAAAGAAACGGCAACCCCACTAGACCGGGGTCCCCTACTCCATGTAAACAGGCCCTAAGATGCCACTACGGCGACGGCAACGAGAACGTCAAAAAGCAATTGGTTAAGATTAGCAAAACAACGACTATGTATGTGCATCACGTTTTTTTGTAAATTTCTTTGCCGTCACTGCACGACTACGACGTGAATTGCATAATTTCACGTTTTATAGACAACGTAAACATACGACAACGAATCTCTCTTACTCTTTGTAAACGTGGAAATTTTTCTTAAGAATTAAACTCCAGGAGAGTTCGCCTACATAAAACATAGTGATTGAGTTGGGATAATTGCGCTAAAGTTTCATAGATCGAGAAGTCACTTTTTAAGCGACGTTTTTGCCGCCGTCGCCGTCGTAGTATCTTATAATTAAACTCCCTTTTGGCACTTCTAGAGTACCGCGAAGTTGGTACTAAGGGTGGCAATGGAAAATAAGACTGATTTACGAAATACTTTTCATTAGAGAGACTGTACTTTGAGCAGATTAAAGAAAAAGCGGCGATATATCATTAGATTCGAAGTAATCATTAAAGAGTTGGTTCCATCGTTATAATTACCTCTTCCTTTTTAGAACATTTATTGAGCTCAATTAAGCGTCTTTCTCATGGACAACTCATTCTATTTTAATGACCAATCTCGACAAATTTGATTTTCAAATTTCAGTGAAGTTTAGAGATGGTCATCACTAAGAATAATTATGTAAAAAAGGAAACCTGAATTTTTAATTTATAGAATTTCAAACAAGTAGAAACATTCAATAATCTTCATAAAACATAACAGGATTTAAAAACAACTACTACTACTACTACTACTACTAACACTACCTACTACCTACTACTACAACACTAACGAGAAAGTGGCAATCCCTTGGTTATTCATGCTTGACTAGCTCACATCTATTGGGGCCAAGTTCTTATTACTTGAAATTAAAGAATTGAAAATTGGAGAAAATGAGCTCTAACGTTTCCTTTCATTCAATTCCAACAGGAGGATAGAGAGAACTCAAGAATCTAAAAAAACAGGTAAGAGCCAATGTACGATTCAATAAAATTAAAGCATGTCTGTGTGTCTTCTGGGGAATCAAGGCTACTTGATGCAGTTCAGGATGTAGTGACAGAGGCACTTCACATTCTGCAGACAGCATAGAGTTAAATAAGAAACAAACAGTGGCCCATTTTGTACCAGCTCTGCTATGGCTTAAGTCAAATGTACAACTGGGTTGATTTGAATGTGACCATGCAGTCTTCCTTAAGGACTGTCACCTGAATCAACAAGGTTTAAGTGCTGAACATCTTACTGGGAACTCCGGCAACAGAAAAAAGGCACAAGGCAAATGACATTTTGCATAACTTGTCCTCTTGCAACACCAGGAGCATAAATGAGCTTGTTTCAAGGGCAATTTTACATAAATGGCAACTGGTGCAGCTTATGATAGATGACTATAAACATTACTGTGTATACACAGCCAACCTGACACTGGCAAGCCAAGAGCTCCTAAATTCATGCGCACAAATACTGAATATACGAGACCCAGAGTATCAAAAGTCAGAATAATCACTATTGGAGAGTGAAAAGTTACTCCTATCGCATTTTGTTGTTGCCCTCAGGATTTCTTAAGTGACATAGATAAGCATTTATACTGAAGAATGAAAGAAATCTTTTGGATAGAAAAGTGAAAATAACATTTATGATTTTTTCAACGTACAAATATACATGTATTCTATGTGTTGTAGCTGATTCTTATGTGGATGCCAATGCAAGGAATCAAATTCAGGGATTTCATGTCTTTTGTCTGTACTTCAAGCTGGAATGGTTGTCAAGCAAGTGCAAAGCTAAACAAGGGCAAGCATTCCTTTTCGCTTGAACTTGTGCCAGTGTCAAAGTGGGAGTAATGTCGTAATGGTCATATGTAATTGCATTTAATCGCAATTATCATAATTTATAGGGCGGGGAAAAGAATGCATATACGTGTATTTTTGTATTTGATATTGATATTTTTCAGTTATGTTTCAAGACATTATGTAAACATTTTCAGCATAAGATTAAAATTCTTTATATCAAGGCATGTGTTGAAAACAAGGGCCAACTCTGCGCGAGCTCTGCTTGCTTTCCGGTTACGTACTTTCCGATAAGGAACAGAATTAAAATATAAGCAGACAACTGCGTTGGATAAATATAATTAATCTGGCCACGGTTATGGCAGGTTTAATGAAATCAAAGCTAACAGAATCATGACACATGGATATATGTTAACCGATTAACCTGCTGAATAAAAAATGGGGCAACAAAAATCCGCCACAAACTACACAACTAAATAAGAAAATGACAAAAGAAGAAATAGGGAATACTGTTAACAATAATAACCCGCAAGCAGGTGAAAGGGGAGGAGGAGGAAAAGATTTTGCTTGAGATCTGAACGAGTTGATGACGAGGGAGAGAAGGAAGAATTACTGGGTAAATACCTCAATATACTTACTTAACCCTGGCACAGCCCTATAACCTCATTGGCTAGATTTGCAGTACCTGGTACAGCCTGACCTGGCTAGTTATCATGTGAGTATCATGCCTTGCCATAATGTCTAGTTTTATTGTATATACAAACAGATCATCATATACAAGTTATCAGATTATAAATCATCTTCCAAATGGTGAGGGTTATTGTAAAATGAATCGAAGAGCTAACACCGCATGATTTGATTTGATTTTCAAATTTCAGTGAAGTTTAGAGACGGTCATCACTAAGAAAAATTAGGTAAAAAAGTAGACCTGAGTTTTTAACTTATACAATAATCTTCATAAAACATAACAGGATTTAAAATCAACAACAACTACTACTACTACAACTACCTACTACTACAACAATAACGAGAAAGGCGCAACTCGTTGGTTATTCATAACATGGCTGAGAATTGAAACTCGGGCAACCAACGATAAAAACTGCTTCTTGTGGTCAGACCTGGGATTCGAATCCAAGATCGCTCCGTTACGCGGCGTCCTTACAAGTCCCAAAACATTAAAAAGTAAAACAAGGTTTTCGCACATTAAATGCCAATTGTTATCGTAATGTAAAGGATTTCGACAAATATCATTAGTCTGTTCAGAAAGCTGTAATGTCTAGTCAAATGCATTTGCTTTGACGCTTCACTGCAGTCCGTTTTTTTGTTTCGTTAATGTAAACAAAACTAGCTTTTATGTTTAAAAATTCTGACCATGTTACAATAAGTAATATTAAGCATTTACTGATGATTTTAATGTATTCCAGATATAAATCTGCGCAGTTTAAGCTAAAGTTTGAATAAGTGACATAATTGTCACGTTTATTGTTCTTTTGTTCCAACAGTCACACAACCTTTCTCGAATATCATTCCGACGAACTTTGCAATCCTTTATTCCAGATAGCCACCATCAGTTACTATTCAGTCCCATCCCCGGCATGAACGTTGGCATATAGACGGCCATCATACTGTCTCAGGTTGACGTACATCTGTTAGTGAAAATCAATCAAGAATAAAGTTAGCTTAAGATTTTTTTAGCAGTTCGTTAAAAATGTATTGCAATTTTATCATGATGCACAATGATGACGATGATGATGATGATGATGATGATGATTAAAGCTTAATAATTGCTATGTCAAATTAAGGTCAGTTGTGCGATTCGTCAAGTTCATCATTAAAACAAATTCCGTGAAATGTAATTCGTTTCAATTTCTTTATCATTTAATCGCGAAATTTGAGTCCCGCGAAATATAACCGCTCCATTTTCGTAAAATTAAGTTATAGTCCTTAGTTCATTCAAAACGTTCTATAGTTTCTGATTGGCTGAAATCCCCGAGCTAATTCTGCATAAAAAGTAGCTACCGTTGACTTTGGAAAACGCTCGTCGATAACAGAACGATATCAAAAAATAAAGGGAAACAGAAGTGCAGGGAACACAGGGTAAAAAAAAGGAGTGGATTTTGCGAGTTATGCGAAGTGGAAAGAGCCAAAAAAGTGCCTTAAAACAGCAATAATAGCAAAAATACCATTAAAATTACAGATTTCTTGGATGAATAATAAGTAAATTATTGGATTCGTCTTTTGTGTGATTTGAAGAATTATGCAGACCCCGGAACGTGTTATTTTCCTCGGCCTTATTGAATGCTGTCTTTACTGACAAGAAAGGAGGTCCCACTCATTTTAATCATCTGCTGAATACATTTATTTAGACAAGTTAACCCTTTGGTCTTTTTTTACGAGCTGTTTTTGTAGAATATATTCCAAAATTAATTCCAAATGTCTTCGGAAAGTGTCTTTTTCTCAGAAGTCTTAGAAAAGTCCTTCACTTGGGGCTATACTGTCACTCCTTCCACCCAATTTATTCCCTTCCTTGTCTCCATTTTAACAAAGAGACTTGTTATGTTTGTTATATAACTGTACTGTGACTGATAAGTGGCGAAACAATCAGTCTTTTCCTGTAAATGTAGTACCACCTTGATCATGTTGCCTAATCATCTCACCTTGTGTTTTCTCTCCATTTCCTTCATGGTCTTGCGCAGGTTTTGAAATGTTGGTCGATCATTTGGTTCTTCCTTCCAACATTTCAGCATGACCTGGTACCTGGGTCATTTTAACAAAGAGCCCAAAGATTTTCTTATAATAAGTTAAGAAACAGACGTGAAGTGGACAATTTTTACTTTCGTGATGTCCTGCCTATCCTTAAGTAAAACGCTTTAAGGGTTCATTTGGAGGTGGAAAGCCCAAGTGGAAATTAAACAGAAGCGCGCCAAAAGTTAAAGGAGAACACACAGAAGCTTAAGTCTATAGACTGGTCTAGTCCTCACGTGGAAGAGGATTGCTTGAGGCAATACCCCCTTGCATGAGTAGCCTCTTTTGATAGAGATACAGTTGCAAATACTAAAAACTGAGATAATCAAAACTGAAAATCCTTAATGGCTAAGCTATTATATGATACAATAAACTGAGCCTTTACTCACAGTTTCTCATCAACGTGTCTTGGTTTCGGCATTCTGTATCCTTTTTGAAGTCGTTCTGCGATTTGACGAGGTTTTATATCTGGATATGGAGTCCCACCTACAGAATGACGTTGGAATATTTCATTTATCTATTCATTTATTGAAGAAAAGG